ACGGCCAAATGGACCTGGGGGAAACGGGAGGACACCGCATTCAAGAATACCAAAGACCTGCTCACCTCGGATGCCGTTCTCATTCAGTATAATGAGACCCTACCCATCGCCGTCACATGCGACGCCTCACCATTTGGCGTCGGCGCTGTCCTCAGCCATACACTCCCAGACGGAAAAGAAGCACCCATCGCCTTCTTTTCAAGAACACTCAGCAAACCCGAAAGAAACTACAGCCAATTAGATAAGGAGGCACTGGCCATCGTCGCAGCAGTAAAGAAGTTCCACGAGTACCTATACGGCCGCCGATTCACCCTCATCACGGACCACAAGCCGCTGCTAGGCATCCTGGCGGGGAACAAGGCCACCCCGAACATCCTATCCCCCAGGATGACAAGGTGGTCTGAGTTCCTCGCCGCCTACGACTACCGGCTCACACACAGACCGGGTAAGACGATCTCCCATGCAGACGCGTTGAGCCGCTCGCCGCTTCCCGACCTAGACGACGATCCAGCTCCCACGACGACCACCCTCAGCATAGAGACATTGCCGGACCTACCCATAACCGCGTCAGACATTGCCCGAGAGACTAATAAAGACAAGCGTCTGGCGCGGGTATTACATTGGGTAGCAAAGGGATGGCCAGAGAAAGACAGCGATGATGCATTCAGGACATTCCGAAACCGGCAAACAGAACTGTCGCTACAGAAAGGTTGTTTGTTATGGGGGGACAGGGTGGTCATACCGGAAAAACTGCAAGGGAAGGTATTACAATTATTACACGAAGGGCACCCGGGGATTGTGAGGACTAAAGCTTTAGCCAGAAGCTATGCTTGGTGGCCAGGTATGGACAAGGAGATCGAGGCCTGGGTAGCCAAGTGCTCGCGCTGCCAAGAAACCAGACCAAATCCCCCCGCAGCACCAATTTTAGAATGGGAAACGCCCAGGGGACCATGGTCGAGACTCCATATAGACTTTGCCGGGCCCACAAAAGGGAACACATTCCTCATCACGGTGGATGCTTACTCCAACTGGCTGGAGGTAAGCAACATGAAGACCACCACAACAGATGCAGTAACCAAGGTCTTAAACAAACTCTTCGCAACCCACGGTCTCCCGGATGTCATCGTGTCAGACAACGGACCCCAGTTCACCTCGCTGGAATTCGAAAGATTCCTAGCGGAACGAGGCATACGACACGCACTGACAGCGACGGCGCATCCGGCGGCCAATGGTAGGGCAGAACGGATGGTTCAATTTACAAAAAGAACCCTCCAAAAGATCGAACACGGGGACATACAAGAAAAAATAAATAAAATGCTCCTAATACAACATATCACCCCTAACACAACGACTAACAAAAGCCCGGCAGAATTACTAATGGGGAGAAAATTAAGGTCACCACTCGACAGACTACACCCCACATACAACCCGGAAAAACCCCCGGACTCATCTAGCAAGCACCGGGTTTTTGCACCAGGCGACGCAGTCTATGCAAAAAACCTTACCGGAGACCCACTATGGGTACCGGCAACTATAACCCAACTGACAGGACCCCACTCCTACCGGCTACAGACAACCGACGGACAAACATGGAAACGCCACATCGATCAAATAAGATCAAGAACAAAAAACACAACCGACACGCAACCAAACACAGACGACACCGATAACACAAACCAAGAGGGGAGGGAAGACACAGAGGATCAAATAGGAAATAACCAGCAATACTCACCAGTCAACAGCCAGCCCGAAGCCTCACCAGGAAGGAACAGCCAGGCCAGCTCAACCAGCCCGGAAAGACCAGGCAGGAGCGGCGAAAGTCGCAGCTCGACCAACCCGGGTAGACCGGGAGGGAGCTGCAACAAGAGGCCCAGCGACACCTTCCAGGGGGTTCCATCGACAGGGCCAAGAGAAACAGAAGTCCCGACCGAACCGGCCGGGAACCAAACAACAACTAAGCTGCGCAAGTCAAGTAGACAAGTACGAAGCCCCGCCTACCTACGGGACTACGTTACGTAGGACCGAACCAAGAGGGGAGGGGTGTTCTGTACAAGTCAATTTACATACTCGTAGCCCCGCGTCGCGATTGGTTAAGGCGCACGGCGACCGGATTGGTCGAGCGAGCCGCACTGATTGGTCCGCTGCGAATCCCCCGCGATTGGTGGAAACTAATCGCGGGAGATTCGAAGCGGTGTCATTGGCCGCGACCGCCGCGGCTCGAGAATAAAAAGCCGCAGTTTTTCCCTTCAAGCTTAAGCTGTATCAGGAGCCAATAAAGAGCTGAACCAAGTCACTGACTCCGAGCTTCCTTTCTCGACGGACACGACACCTTTTCTATACAAATTTAAAAGGTAATACATTTTAAATGTTTCTTTTTGTTCAATAGTCTAAGATCTATTAGCATTTTTATACAGTTGTGATACATTTTCCTGTTGTTTACTGAAAATGGGGATCTCTAATTCCTTGTTCAACCCAGTCTTTAAAGTTTGTATATCAAATTGATAGTATTGATCACAAATATTTATAAAAAGTAGAGAAGGAGAGAAAACATCAAGAGAATGATAGGATGAAGCATCAAAATCTAGGCAAGATGGACAGCATATAAATTTAATAAATACATTTTCCAGAAATAATATTTTAAATTCATATAATGGTGATAGGAGATACATTTAATCTTTTATAATTTCAACCCTAAACAGAGCCCAGGAAGGAGAATCTATATATATATAAAAGCAAAATACTACTCACTCATCATCACAAAATCTCCAGAACCGTAAAGGCTACAAACTTGAAATTTGGCACGTATGTTCCACTTGGCTTCACTAAGAAAAGATTTTTTGAAATGACCATCACAGCATTAGTATTTCGTATATTATTATTAACATGTTCTGATGCTAAGGAGTTCTACTCCCCATCCCCACCTGAAAAGAAATCTGTTCCAAATGCAAAACATAAACAGAGGAGTTTCAGTTTTAGTTTCACAGCACCAAGCAGCTTTAGTACAGAACAGTTGAGCTAAGTCATACCCAGGCTCCTTATTGTCTCCTTGCTCACCCAGCAAATACTGTTTCAGTTTCCAAACAGCTCTCAACTCTCTTACACACTGACAGGACACTAACCAAATGAATACCGATGGATGCTGGTAGGCAGAATTTTTTTCTCCTTATTTTCCTCCCCCAAAACTAAGCTAGTATATGATAAGTGAAACCATCTAAAATTTGGAATAAATCAAAGGTTATGCATGATGGTATAGTATACAGGTAGTCCTCAACTTATGACTGCTTCTTCAGTGACCATTAAAAGTCACAGCAGTGCTGAACAATGGGGATTTATGATCAATCTACGGTATGTAGTTGTGGCCATTGCAGCATCACCAGGGTCATGTATTGGTGATCTGAATGCTTGAGTGCCCTGCTTGCAATTATGGCAACTCAGTGAGCTTTGGTCACATGGCTGCCATTTCTGACTGACCCTGTCAGTTTCCCAAAAGCAAAGTTGCCCTCATCATTTTTCTCCCAAAGAGGTCATTAAGGAGCATGAGATTCCAGAGTTCTTGTACTCTTTAGTACATGCCCATAAGCCTTGCCAGCTTGCTTGTGCATATGAAAAACAACAACTGAGTTTTATCTTCAATCTAGGGGCCATATCCCAAATCAGGAGTTATTTTATAAATCCTTTGGAAAATCAAAATTTATCTAGCATAATATTATGTCAGAATTTTATCAAAAGGTTTTTCCATATTAAGTGATAGAACTACAGTTTTGTATTATCTGTCTTTGTTCCAATCAATCAGATCCTCTTCAAGCTGCGTATTATACTGTCTTCTTTCAAAAAGTGGTTTTTGGTTGCTTGGTTTAAAGTTTTGATTGGGGAGAGCACTGAGGTTATTCAAATAATTTAGAACCTTACTGTTAGAGGGGATATAATCTGCTCAGAGTCTTTTGGAGTTTAGAGCAGTGTATGAACCCAAATAAATAAAATGCTTCTTAATTTGCTGTGCAAATAAACTGTAAGTATACAGATAGTCCTCACTTAGCAACTACAGTGACTGTTCAAAGTTAACAATGGAGGAGACTTAAAACCAATTCTTGGAATTGTGACCATCATAATGTCCCTGCAGTCAGACAATTGTAATTTGGCAACTGGCATGCAATTATGAGGTTGCAGCATCCTGTGGGTCACATGATTGCTATTTGTGACCTTCATTGCTGGCTTCAGGTAAGCTGGTGCAGGGTGCGGTGGCACAGGCAGTCTTTAGGGCCCCTATTGTGGCTCATATCACACCACTATTCTGCAAGCTGCACTGGTTGCCGGTTTGCTTTGGATGCAATTCAAAGTATTGATAATCACTTATAAAGCCCTTCGTGGCATGGGTCCAGGTTACTTGAGGAACTGTCTCACTCCAGTGGACTGGCCCACCCCTTCTGTGCTGGTAGAGGGAGCATACTGTGGATCCTGTCAGTCAAGGAATTTTGACTGGTGGGGTCCAGAAGAAGAGCCTTCTTGGCCATGGCTCCTACCCTTTGGAACATCTTACCCCCTGAGGTGAGATTGGTTCCCAGCCTCCTGACTTTCCATAAGAGCCTTCACACCTGGTTCTGCCAAATGGCTTGGGGTCCCAATGGGGGAGTTTCATATTGCAGGTGGTTGACTAATTAAAAGCTAATCCCCCCTCCCCCCTTCTTGTGTATCCAGCTCCCTTTTCTCTATATTGTGTTAATGATTTTGCTTTGTATACTCTGCTCAGTCATTTTACATCCAATGATTAATGCTTTTTTAATGTTTATTATACTGTAAGCAGCCCAGAGTAAATTTAAAATAATAGGAAGGAAGTTGCAAGTTTTGGTCACATAATGTCACACTTAATGAATAGGTGCCAGAACTGATCATGTGATTTTTTTTAATAACTTTTCTCTTCCTTTACAGAAAGAATATAAGGATGGTGTTCTGGTTCTATAATCCAGCAGTTAAGTAATCCAAAAAAGGAAATGCCTAGGACCTGATAAATAATGATTTTCTGATAACAGAATCAGACCATGGTGAGAAAGAAATCAATTTTAATTTTGCAAGAAATTAATGAAAGCAGATATACATAAATTAGTAAAAACTCTAGAATGCAAAGAGACATCTGAATAAGAATAACCTTAGAATGAGAACCACAGTAAGAAATATTAGTGATTTTGATCCCATTTACACTTTTTAAAGCCAGTTTGTTAGATGCAAAGCACAGTTTGAAAATATATATATTCCACAATTTATTTTAAAGATATGAGTTGTAATGATTTCTTCCTTCTTAAAAGTCAAAAGAACGAGTGAGAGTCACAGTAAAGCTTTTATGAGATTTTGATGCAGTTTATAATTCGAGTGCCTATCCATTGGTTGCAAAGACAAATACAACAAAGTATAGACTGAAATTTTAATTTTTGGGGTGTCATGCATCCATTTGAAATTTTTTTTTAAAATGTTATATCTCCCTTAAGGCAGATTTTTATAAAGTTCTGGGAAGATCACTTAGGATAGTGACAAGCTATTTAGAGCATCAGATATTTTGGAACTATATCTCCTATAATCTATGACTGTCAAACATGGGGATTATTGGATTTTTATAAATTGAAGATTTTCAGATGACCTATGTTTGACATGATAAAGTGTCCCAGAGATTATCTTGCGATCCTATAAACCACCATGCCTAGATGGTATAGACTGTGCCTTTGGTTTTCCCCCTCCTCCCCTGGTAATTTCTGAATTTGAGGAAATGTGTTTGTATTTCAGGAAATGAAATGTGTCTGTTCAAATAAAAATGTCTAAAATATATTTTTTATTTGTCCTGTAAGGTTACAATAATTCAATGTTATGTACAGTATATTGAACAAGGCATATCAGAAGTAATATGCTTTGTATAATTGGGTTTTTTTTGTCCTCATGCACTTATGAAATTTGCTGATTGTGGGCAAATGGGTTAAATGTATGTGCTATGCTTGTAGGTGTGCATTTTATAATAAGAAATTGTATGTTTTAGAAGCTTCTGCCTCTAGACAATCCCACAAGATTTTGTTTCAGGCATCTCAACTGGACTTATTCAGGCCAATCCCAGCAAATCCACCCAAACTCTGAGTGGAACTGAGGGATTGTATGTGCAGATAGCAATTCTTCACAGCATATTCTTCACAGCATCCCTGCCAATGTTCTTGAAACCCATACTTCCCCAGCAGAGACCAAGTCTCCTTAAACAGGATTGTTGGACAGCTATCAACAGATGTAAAACATGGAGAAATAGCAATTGTTCACTGCCCTTATTACCACAATGTAATCCATAATATGGGTTTTTTACTTTTGCTTGGGCAGATTCACTCTTCATCTTTCTACCGTGACTCTCCAGACATCTCTTCTTTTGCTTTATCTCTTAGAGCTCTTCAAATAAAGTTCACATTGGGATCAACACAGGGGGAGACACCACACAAGGTCAATCAGGTTGAAACCTGTTCCATTTGCCCATACCAGGTTGCTTCAGCTCAATTGCCCACCAGATTCTTGGGGAAAATCCCAGCCTCCCTTTGGAATCCAGCTGGATTCATCAGTTGGAATGGGCTGATCTAACAGGCCTACCAACAACTGCATCATGCAGGAAAGCAGGACCAAAAGGTGGTAGCGTCAGAGAATCTCTAAGGACAACTAGTGGAGATTTCTTCCTATTTCATATCTGGCATGGGCACAATCTCTGACGCAACTATAATGGCAATGATAGTATCAGCCCTTCTGCTACACAAGCCTTCTCCAACATGATGCCTTTCTAGTTTTATTGAAAATGTAAGTTCAGTATTCCCAAACATTACTGGCTGGAAATTCTGGACATTAAAGTCTCAAATCTAAAGGCATGATTGAGAAAAATTGTTTAAATTGTGAAAACACACTCTGGTAGAAGTTCCCTGAAGATGATCACCAACACAAGTTCAAAACCTCAGAAGATGAACCCTCTGAGCCTGGTATCTGACCCAGATTGGATCCTACAACATTGTCCTGGGACACGTACATTCACCATTTGTGTCAAAAAATGATACAAGTAAAGATTACAATTTTAAATTCTAGCATATTCATATATTGTGCTGAGCCATAACATGATTTGTTTGTTTTGATAAAAGGTTGTGAAACCCATGGTGTTTTTAAATCATCATTGTTAGGTTTAATATATGGCAACCAATTGTAGCTTATTGATCATAATGAAAACCTACCTTTGTGTGATGAAACACTTCATTAAATAATTCCCTAGTAGCAGTCTCCAAATAGATTGGATCATATTGGCTATCATACAGGGTAGAAATTGTACTGTTGAAAGGCATCAATTTGGGAAAACATTGAACAGTAGAATGCATATAAAATAAATACGCAACTCACATTTTATCTTTTATTCTAACATATTTAATTTTTCTCCCAGATTTATGTAGCTCTGGTCATTTTTTCCATATTACGTGGAAGTGATCCTATTTTCTTTGTTTTTCAGGCAATTATTACTCCAGACACAATCATTCCCCTGTTTGGTGATGGCATCTGTGGCATAACACCGAGAGCAGGATCAATTGTTGCTGGTGTGTACATGATCTTAATGACCAATATGTATCTTATCTTTGAGTTTCAACACCTAAGCCTTGCATTAATTAAATTAGCAAAGATTAAAATGAAAGGCTTAACCTGGATTATTCCATATTGCTATTATACAGCAATAGTTTTGGCTTTTATAACTTATCCTGTATGTTTCTATTATTTATATTGTATCTATAAGAGAAAAACTATAGGTCTTTATGTATACTTTGCTTGGATAATCTTTTATGATGCAGCCAACGTAGCCATTATAATCTTGACTAGCCGCGCTGGACACCTACATGCATTTTCCATCAGTCCTTTAGAATGGTTTGGATTGGCCAGTAGGATTCCCGCGGATTGTTTTTGGCTTTGTTTTGTTATAACGTATATTATGTTGCTTGTTGAAGGAAAACGTGTAGGGAGGGTGTCAATGAGACAAAGGAGAACATCTAGATATATTACTGAACCTCCTAAGTTTAGACTTGGTGTAAGTGCCAAGAGACTTCAGTGATAGCTATCAAAATATTTCTTATGCAATTATGAACATCAGGCCTGCACAATACCTGGCATAACAAAAAATGGGCAATTAATATATTCATATATGTTAGCTATCCAATACCTTTGCCTATTCAGAACAATGAAATTAGGGTGATTGTCAGAAACATGGGAGGCCATAATATATACTAAGTTCAGAACCAATATATGTATATACCAAGTAATGCTTCACATTGTTTTACTTCATTGTCTTATTGGGTTAATCTAAATGTCTTTAATAAAGATAAATTTCATAATTACTGTACTTGGGTCTCTGGATTTGTTTGGGCAAAACATACTCCCCTCAAAATGATTAGTTTTTCTTTTTTTTTTGAGAAAAAAGTTTTATTGACTTTAACAACAAACAAAAACACATAAAACATAAGACATCAAACATAAAAGCATCGTCCTCCTTCATAAATTTACAGACAGTGTATCGGTTGGTTTGCCACTCTTTTTTGTGCATCCATTTCATAGTCTCCATTATAATTGTGTTACATATTAACTCATATTATCAATCAACAATTATATATCCTAGTATCATTATTAAACAATCATTTGACTATAATTTTATTAATTCATATTTAAACGAGATAACTATACTTTACTTAATTTATTTTATAACAAATCATAAAATCATACCAAGTCTATCTTAATAAAATTTTATAAAGATGATATCAAAACAAAACTAAAAAATATATATATTAGTTATTTCCTAGGTTTCTAAATATTCTATTATTATATTTTATTATCTAACCATTGATAGAAAAGGTCCCAAACTTCATAAAATTGTTTATCTTCTTGTTCTCTAATTTCAAATGTCAATCTACTAAAATGATTAGTTTTTCTATAAAAGTACTTTTCTTATTTCTGAAATAATGATTTTTAGCAGACAAAGAAATGTGAATCCATGCAGAATTTTGAAAGTGCAATGTGGTTTTATGCTACAGTAGATAGATAGTACAGTATATGGAACAGGTTTTGCACTTCAGTAGATCCTTGAGAAAAGTATGAAGGTGACAAAAAGAATGGTTATTGTACATGTATTGATCTAGAAAAGCATATAAAATGAATAGTTTTTAAATATAAAATGTTTTATGTGAATATCGAATTGGAGCTTGGTTGCCAAATGTGGTAAGGACAAATGTAGTAAAGGCAGTCTGAACTTATGAGGATAAATGGAATACTTAGCAAGTAAGAAAAGGATGTGTGGTGCTGTTTAATATTTTTATGGATAAGCGTACAGGGAATATTTGCAGTAAGCTTAGAAGTGTATGAGTCAAGAATGTGAAAATATTTGTGCTTTTTCTATCTATGATGCTATGTTGCTGGCTGAGAACATGAATGGTAATCCAATTCACATTGGAGAACAAATACTTGTGTGGATCTGCATACTTTGCAGCAGATTTATTTCACACCAACCTTGAGTTTACCAGAAGCATTGAAGACTAAAGTACCTGATAGCTCAGCCACACAGATCCAGGTCACAACTGACTTAGAAGAACTGTCTTGAACTAATAAGTGGGTCTTACTTCTCCCTAGAGTGACCTATCTAGTGCCCTCCACATCAAAAGGAAACTGATCCCCTTAAGAAGTTCCATTAAAATTTCCTGTGGTTGGAAAAGAAACTCACACCAAAGAGAACTAGTTTATGTTTTCTATAAGTGGGCAGCAGGTGGTGCAATTTGTCTGCAAGCAAGAACTGGTAGGACCATAAAATAGAGAAAGTCATAGAAAATAAAGAAGCTCAATTGTTCTGGGATTTTAGAATTCAGACAGGCACCTGCCACATAACACCCCAGACTTAACAATTATCGATAGGAAAGATGAAAAAGTCTGGATAGTGGATATGGCAGTACTTGGAGACAGGAGAAGAGAAGAGAAGGAACTGGAGAAGATAACAACATACAAAATCTTGAAAATAGAAATAAAATGAATGGAGAGAAGGAAAAAACACAAAGTTAGTAGTAATAATAATCGGTGCTTTCGGTGCAATCTCAGGACAACGGAAGCACCATTTGAACACCATCTGCATTGACAATCAGTTAACTGCAAAAGGCAGCTTTACTCAGAACAGCTTACATCCTGTAACATTTCAAGCACCATCAAATGTCAACATCTGCCTATTCCATATTCTTGGGAAGAACTTGATGGATGGATTGAAATGCCAAAATCCAATTTATACACCTGGCTGTGTGATGAACCATAATAATCCATTGTCTTTATATTAGGCGAACATATAGGTAGTAAGAGGAAACAAAGCAGTAGTTTTTATTTATTTTCTGTGGAGGAGGATTGACTGTCGAGGCCTACATTTTGTTCTCACATACTTCCCAAGATTTCTTCAAAGATTTTCTTTACAAAGGACTCGCTGTGCGGGTACACATTCTCACATTGCTCAAGTAGCAGGGGTGTGACTAGATTTGAACCAATCATTATTCAAGCTCTGATGGCATCTACCCAGACAAAAAGTGAAGCACAGCCCAGGAGGGTAATTCTTATAGAGATTTGTTTGCTTTTTAAAACATTACTGAAAGGTCTGGAACTTGGATATGTTTATGCGGAAAGTTCTTAAAATTAATTGTCCTTAATACCCTACTATATTTATACTGTATACAATACTAAAGGTACTTCATTGAATGAGCTATATTTTAACTGAGAAAAACTGGGAATAGGTTTGGGAATTGTGCCTTCATTTCCTTTCTGCAGAGAGAAAGTCCCAGGTGAACTAGGACAGCAGTCCCCAACCCGTGTGGCTTGGTGGCCTGTGTAGGGAGGGGATCTGGGCAGTGTCAGCATCTGGCTGGCATGCATGCACACATGCAGCTCAACTTGGTGAGAGGTGGGTCAGCACTTGAATCATATGCAAGCACAGCTTGCCCCTCCAGTTGTCTTTTGAAAAGCATCTTTGGAACCTGTTCCTACATGTACTGGTGCTGGGGAACTGGAAGTCTGCCTCATTGGCGATTGGGTTGCATACCAATCTCAATTCCAGGGTAAAGAGGCTTCGTGTTAATAATCTGTAAGAATCTGATGATGACCGACTTCAGAGGACATCATTCATTCACAAGTAGCTGGGTATGAGGTCCTCTCTCCTAGTGTACCATATACCTTGCTACCCAGCTAGTTTTTTCCCCTGAGATCCTCGGCCTTAAATCAATTACCCCAACTATGTGCCGGGGTTACCCATGTCTTGGGGCAGGGGTATCAAACTCAATTTCATTGAGGGCTGCATCAAGGTTGTGTTTGACCTCGGGGTGGGTGGGTGGGCAGGGTGTGTGTGGTCAGGGTAGGTGTGACCAGCTCAACTTCACTTGTGTCGGGCACTGTGGTGGCCAAGCGCTAAGGCTTCCCTCATACCCTCCCTTGCTCTCATTATTAATGCAGAACATTAATAGCAACCTTTTTGCATGGCTAGATCACTATCTTGGCAGACTAGACTAATGCCTTTTATTGACCTCTTTAAGGGAGACAGACTTAAGTTGGCCCACCCCAGACAATTTGGTTTACAGTGAGTGCCTGGTAATTTCTCCATAATGAAGCAGGAAATCTGTAGCCAGTCTGGTTGAATTGTGGAACAGAGATAGTGAAGATGCAAGGTTGATATTCTTGATTCTTTGAGCCTAAGTAAGTTGACAGAGTACTCTGGAATCTGCTCAATCATCAGTAAATTAGACACTTGTCTTTCTTAAATAATACTGGTAGCTGGAAAGGGTATGATAGCACAGGGTGGGCACAGAAGAATCAAATACACTACATGACACCTGTTAAAGATGCTACATACCTACTTTCCTCTATCTTATCAAGGAAAATTTCTTATATTTTGCTGTCAGCCTATTAGAGCAGAAGATAAAAATTGTATCAAGAAAATTCAAGAATGGTAAGAGATGAAGTTGATTTTAAAAAATAGTATAGCAATAGAAATACAACAAATGTAAAAGATGTTTTAAAGTTTTTCTCAATTTCAAAAGATAACAAAATAGGTGCCTAGCAAACTACTTTTTAAAGAGCATTTCAAGCAATACAGCATGGCAGCCATGTATAATATTTGTTGTACACTTTCTATAACCAGCCTTATCACACAGACCCATGGGAGCTAGTATTTGTCCGTTCAGCTGATATAAACCTATGCACATTTTATATAACATGCAGTCCAAATACTATAGCTGGTTTGCCAAAATGAACTGGAAGTCTGAAGGACACATGTTGTTTATTCATACAAAAACTCCACAGATGGCCATAATCTTAAAAATAAAAAGAATTGAGACATAGAAGGAAATTGCCATAAATGAATTTGCTTTTCATCCATATTGTGCTAAAGCAAATAAGCCACTATATAGTGTATACAGTTTTGCTTTTCAGGATAGATCCAAAATTCAATTATGATTTACCAATGTAACATATACCCACAAGCTATAATCATAACTAAAATTAACCTGTCTGGATGCAATTTAGAGACAGAAAATGGCAGGGAACATTGCATTCTTCTGTCATTTGATTCAATGCTCTTACTAGAGTCAATTTAGAAATTTGTTGGAATGTAAATGCTATCAATGATTTTTGTGAATTTGCATGAATGAAAATGGGAAACAAAATGATAGTAGGAACAAGTGAATATTATAGAAATTCTGAACCACAACCAACATCCATAATCAGGAGAATTCCTGATGTGTTTTATGATAAATAGCAAGAGTAGCTTCAAATAATGAAGAATTCCCAAAAATAAATATCAAAGACTTTGTTAAATATATTCTTACTAGATAGTAATTTAGGCAAGTTTCAGTTAACAGGCATGATATTCTCCTCAGAAAAAAAAATCGGGGCCGGCCAAAAGAGACCACCCACCGCGCGCCAAGAAATCGCCTACCCGCCGCTCGCTCGCCGTTGCGCGCGCCCACCGCGCGCTCCCGCTCGCACCGTCCGACCGCCGCTCGCACCGACCGCCCGACCGCCGCTCGCGCCCGCCGCTCGCCCGCCCCTCACACCACCCGCCGCTCGCACCAACCGCCGCGCGCGCCCGCCGCTCGCCCCGCCCGCTGCTCGCCCGGGCGATTCCGAAAAAAATTGGAATTCCGATTTTAATCGGAAAAATATCATGCCTGCAACAAACTTTAACCTCATTATTTAATGGGACCCAGTCCTAATAATGCATAGGACTTTTATTTGAATTATTGTAAGATAATTCATTTATTGC